ATTAAAAAAGAATCAAATCAAATCAAATAAATACTAAACTTCGCATGTTTTCCAGACTCTGTGAGTGTGTGTGTTCGATTGTTCTGTACAGAAGTGCCTTGGTGAAAGTCTCACAATTCTACCGCGACTGAAACGTACAAAACTACGGCATCTACAGTATACGCAACATCCTGAAATTTAGTGTAGTCAGACACATATGTAGTAATATGATTCTTCTCCCCATGTCAAAATAAGCAATGCTGTATGATACCACTGTCCACAAATATAGCCATCACTATTTTTTTCTTTGTTTTTTTTTCTTAAAAAGTTTATCTTCTAGTCCATTAACAGCTTGGATTTGTTCGAGGATGCTGCGAGTTGAGTTGGATGTGCGCCGCCTCGGCAGCGGACGACTGGTCCGTGGTGGACGATGGGAGGCCTGAGACAGGGAGACGACTCGTGGCATCGGACAACCTTTCGCTTAACCTTGCCGTATCTGTTGCTTCGTCTTATGATGTCCTCTCTTGATGTGCAGTTGTCACGGCGGCTCTCTGGAGTGGCTTTGTCTCCACTTTGGTCCCTATTGCCCTTCAGCGTCTATTAGAGACAGACAAGCCTTCACTGCAGATGCCAGCGCAGTAACAACTCCACCGTGGTGTTCAGCAGCCTTCATGGCCGTTCGCAGTGTGACCCAAAAAATAGGGGCGAAAATATCACTATCTTTTTTAAAAAGGGGAATCTCCTTATTCATTAAGCAACAGCTCTTAAAGTTCTTCAGTGCTTTTCAGTGTTCCAAAAAATTTTTTCCAAAAAGAAGAGAGGAAAAAACCAAAAGAACCGTTTTGACTAAACTTAAATGTTTTTGCCCATGGCAGTAAAATTAACAATAATATGTTTTTCTGTTCAGTCATTCTTTTCAAAAGTCCCTGCAGCGTTCCGTGAGTAACCCCATTTGTTGGTTAATCCTCGATGTGTTTTGAAAGGGGTAGGGCTGAGGAGGCTGGGTAGGAAAAATGATTTAGAGAAATGAAAGTGGGAGAGAGGGAAGAGTCTGCCCCCTCTGGTGAGTTCAGGTGGGCTGTTACCTCTTGCCCATCTCGTTCTGTCTGAGGAACTGGATGTTGTTGCTGCTGTCAGCCAGTTCTGGGTACTGCTCCACAGGCAGTACGTAGTAGCCATCGTAGCCCTGTACTCTCCCTGTCGTTAGGAGCTGCTGTCGCTCCCCCTCCGTCCACAGGCGGCTCCCTCCCTTCCCGTCTCTGGCCCTCTGCTGCTCTTTCGCCCAGGCCCCTGCCAAGGCTCTCTGCCTGGCCAGCTCCAAAAGTCTTACCTTCTCCTCATCCACCACATCCACCGCCAGCCCGTATCGAACACTCAGTATTAACGACGGAACTGCGAACTCTACGGTCACCCCTCTTCTTGAGCGGCCACTCACTGTGACGTTGATGCCGCTCTCCAGTGACTTGCGCCCGTTTGTGAGCCCCAGCACCAACAGGTCACTGTCGGCAGAGCCAACTTTCACAAAGTAGTGACAGTCCTTCCCGTCCTGGGTGTAATGGGTGCCTTCGAGGTACTGGGCGCCGTTGAGCACAAGAGCCACTTTGCGGCTGTCGTCGCTGGCCAACGCTGACACGCCTGCCACTACTCTGCCCTCCTTCAATGCCAGCATTACTCCTCGACCTATTATTGGGGTGCTGGTGCCAAACCAGTGACCCGGCTTGTCCTTTCGTCTGCGACGTTCTTTGTTGAGGAGACGACCCTCCAGGGCCATGAAAGCCTGGTTGTGCCGCTCCGCTGCCTGTTGCACACCGGTGATGAGCTGGAAAAGTTGGATACAGTGTTGAAATTAACATTCACGACAGAAGCTACTTACAACAAGATTGAATTAATCAGCCGTATTGTTCTGTACGGTCGTATTTACCTGTCCGTTCTCACAGTGCTGGGTGGCCTGCAGCTCGTAGGGAGGCTCCACAAAGTAGAGCGTGTGTCGAGGGAACCCTGGAATTATGTTGCTGAGCTGGAAGCCAAACATCACCAGCCAGCTCTTCACATCTGCAGCAGCAGACAGGACAGAAAATGACTTTGCTGAAGGACGGGGATAATCATTCTGGATTGTTTTTAGCATATACAAGTAAATGTGTGTTTGCTTCTGTGACTGTTGGTGTTGTGTAAAGATTTCAGCCTCTGTGCTGCTGTGGTAAACTACCCCTTACATAAACAATCAGCTTCTCCTGAACACTAGAGATATTGGTGAGGACATTACAGTTTTACCTACTTTTACCGAAGCACATTTATGATATCTGTACCTCACTGAAGTAGATTTATTTCCTCCACCACTGATTTCTGTATATTTATTCAGTAAATACACAATTTATGTAGTTTTTAATATGCTATGATGAAATTTGCAGCGTTTAAGCCTTTTTTCCACCATTTTCAGTGGTTACATTACGTAAAAATATTCCTTAAACTGAATTCCACAATATTCACTGTTATGGTGTATTTGGCCTTTTACCTGTGACATAGTTCTTGACATCCAGCATGTCACTGAGGGGGTTGTTGTTCTTGAACATGTACAGATTAAATGGAGCGGGATCTTTCCCAATCTTGGACCAGATGCTGTAGTCGGGCGACGTCCAGCGTCCAGCCAGGCCTTCATAGTCTCGCTGGGTGAAGTGCACCAGCTTAGTCATGGAGTCGTAGAGGCCACCGTGGAAACCTACCACCAGCTGAAACTCTGGGTTAGAGTCCAGGTACACTTCTCCATAGGCTGTGTACTGCACCTAATTGACAGAAGCAGACTCTTTTAGCTTTTTTGATTCTTAATACTTCCTCCACTGGAAAATCTTTAACATGGGGTGAGTTACACCCCAACGACACTTTGGACATGACAGACAAAGGAGCAAAATCTAAATCTTCAAATTCAATGCTACTTTTTATACCTGTTTGATCATCTGTCCATTGCTGCTGAAGACAGCCAGTGGCGTGCCGGTGTTGTCAGAGGCGATGTAGTATTCCTCCCCACTGCTCACCTCCATGGCGAACAAATGTCCCTGATCATGACAGTTAGAATTTCAATATATTTGCATTTCAAGTTCAGGTTTTGGCTAATATGTTGTTATATATGGGCAGGATATTGGTGGACATGTAACATGCCTACCTGTAAGTCATAGTAGAGAGACGAAATGTCCGAGCTGGAGTGGTTGAAGATGTGCGTGACCCTGGTTGGGTGGTTCAGGTCGGCATAGAAGAACTGAAGGTGCTGTCCCAGGCTGTTCCTCGTGGACACCCTGCGGCCCAGTCCGTCGTAATGATACACGACGCTCCAGCCGTCTGGACCTCGATTGTAAGCCCGCAGGAGCTGACCTTTGGAGTTGTAGTCAAAGATGTCTGAACCACGCTGGCTGAGGAAACCATCTTCATCCAGGCGGTACTGGACGTCTCCCAGGCGTGTGATGCGGTCTCTGAGGTCGTAGCGGAGGGGCAAAATGCGGGCGCTGTTCGCAGGATTCAGAAGGTGGAGGTTGCCATTCAGGTCGTAGCTGTAGCGCCACGTAGACCAGTCATTTACCTGAATAAAACAATGACATGACAACAGCAAAGAGTAAGTGACAGATTCCAGATCACGGATCAAATTAAGAGAAGTTGACACATCAGGTTCTTCAGATAATCGTTTCCACTCTCTCCACGCAGAATATTCACCTTGACGCCACTGAGCTGTCCGTCTCCATCATAATCATAGCGGTATTGAGTGGTGTTGGCATAGGGCCCGATCTTGAGCTCCCTCTTCACCACCCGTCCCATGCTGTCATACTGCACTGTCATCCAGTACATGAGTGAACGGAAGATCTCGTATTGCACCTCCTTGATGCGACCATGGGTGTCGAAATGCTTACTCAGCGTCATAACGGCTGTGGTTATGATCTGATTAATGTCGTAGTAAATGACCCCGAACTTTCCAAAGTGCTCCACCTGTAGGAGTGAGGGAAGGTTTTAGAGAGAAGGTGAGGCAAGGAAATTACATTTGTTTTGAAAGGTAAACAATTAAAGCAACACATTTCTGCCCTCTACCTTTCCAGAGATCTCGTCGTATCTGTAGAGGTCAACAGGAAGTGGCGTCTCACTGATGACTGGTTTCATGCTGGCAATACGGAAGCTGTTGTCGTGGTACGTGTAGTCAAACCTTGCATTGACCATCCCCTCCTCACTGAAGCGGTAGATCTGCTTGTCAATGAGCGGGCCCATTTTGCGGTAGCGAATGGTGCACGAGAAGCCCCCGCTCTGCAGGTTGACCATCTTCAGCACACCAGCTGTCTCATCGTACCCGAAAGTTACGGCGGTGCTGTCGTACACGATCTCTGACAGCTTGGCCAGCTTGCCGTACTTGTAGAGCACACGGCGGCCTGTACCCAGGTAATGTGAGGCCTGAGGTCGGCCATCCTCGCTGAAGTCATGGATTATGGAGGCGTTGCTCTCTGGGGGGTTGTAGGTGTTGCGGATGTAGCCAACTGACACGTGTGTGAACATGGTGTGACGGGCAACACTGGGCATGACGACAGCTGTGACCCGACCTGAGGCGTCAAACTCAAAGATATACTGTCTCTGACTCTGCAGGAGCAGCACCATGGACTGAAGAAATGAAGCAAAGTGAAATGTGGATTAATATAATCACATTGTCAAAGGGTGACTCGTCTCCTGTGAAATAACACCAGGAGTAAATGTCTCTAAGCTGACAAATTTGAATCTTAATAACCATGAAAATTATTTATTATTTCACTAAATTCTGCAAACCAAATCATTATTCTTTCTTGCCATTGCTTTCATGACTCGTTGATGACAAAGTTAAAGATAAATATACTCACTTTGTCGAGGTAACTGTAGCTCCACACCTTCCCGTCCACAAAGGAACGAGACAGGATGCGTCCCTGGGTGTCGAACTCCGTCCTCTCACTCATGCTCCCCCTCTGCAACCCAACAAGCTGTCCAGTGGTGGAATAAGACACATTGACCACCGCCAGACTGCTGCTAGGCAACCACATAGCCGGGCGGCCCTGAGCGTCATACATGATGCGCAGTGTGAACTTGCGGTGATCGTCATAAATCTTCTCTGTGCGTGTGTTGCGGTCGAAGTCAATAGAGAGGAGGTTGCGTCCATGAGCCTGAGGAAGAGAAACATTTTTACATTTTAATGCCAATATTGAAGTTATGGTAAATATCTAGATTTTATCAAAAAAAACAAAATAACTCACCCTTAGCTTCCTGCCAAAAACAGTGACCCTGCCTTTGGTCTGCTCCTTGCGTAGACGCCACTCGATGGAGTTGAGGCCATTGTCTGTGGGCAGTGTGATGTTCCTGCGACCAATCGTTGGGCTAACAGACCCTGCCAGGATGTGGGGCTCCGTGTGAAAGCTGATGCCCATCCCGTTGGCATACATCACTCTCAAGGTTCCATTGTTGCATAACTGATAGCTGTTTCTTACTTGGTCTGGAAGTGGAGACAAATAAACAAACTGTTGGACACAAAGCCAAAGACGCACATAGTCTCTGTATTCAGGAAGCAATGTCAGAACCCCAGCAAACCTACAACCAGATGTTTGGTGTCAGACATAAACAACATAGTGCTCTCTAAGTTCAGGAGAAATATCCTGTTCCATAAAAACATTTTTTAGTGAGGAAGGTTCTTTACTGATCTAACTGACCTTGAGGCATCCAT